ATAATGCAGAACACTGACCCTCATTCTCAAGGTACAGAGACCCTGACCAGTTCAGTTGTTTATAAAGATCACTGAAGCAAAGTAGAACTTAATGAATGTCTTTGTTGTTCTGGTTTGGCTCATGCAGAGTATGTGGATAACCTGAAAGACGAAGGTCGAGTTTGTGGCATCATTGACCGGCTTCTCTCTTACTTGGAGAACAAAGGCAGCACTGAGGAGATCTGCCGTGTCTACCTGCGAAGAATCATGCACACCTACTACAAGTTCGACTATAAGGCCCACCGCCGCAGCTTAGGCCTTCAGGGAGAAACCAAGGTGAGAGCAGCTGATGTGAGAGGAAGAGCTGCAGAAAGGGAAGCTACTTCCTCTGACCAGAATGGGTTCAATAAAAGGTTGTCCTGGTCTGTTTAGTCAGAGCAGGACCAGGAGGAGAGCGAGGCAGAGGACAGCGCCGTCATCATGGACCGTCTTTGCAAGTTCATCTACGCCAAGGATCGCACAGACCGCATCCGTACCTGCGCCATCCTCTGCCACATCTACCACCACGCTCTCCATTCACGCTGGTACCAGGCCCGCGACCTGATGCTCATGAGTCACCTGCAGGACAACATCCAGCACGCCGATCCACCAGTGCAGGTCGGTTAGTTCAGGGCTACACCACAACAAGCCAACCCCTGTAGCTCAAATAGGAACAGCAGTAATCAGCTTTCTGCTTTTTGTTCCTTTAAAGATCCTCTACAACAGAACCATGGTCCAGCTCGGCATCTGTGCCTTCAGACAGGGCATGATTAAAGACGCCCACAACGCTCTCTTAGACATCCAGTCATCAGGCCGCGCCAAGGAACTCCTGGGTCAGGGACTGCTGATGAGGAACATGCAGGAAAGGAATGCAGAGCAGGAGAAGATCGAAAAGAGGCGACAGGTAAGTCCTCCTGTGGCAGCAAACCAATCTCTGTTCCACAGGGCTAATTTAGTCTAATCTGTATTTGTGATGAAGGGAAACTAAACATCTGTTTTAGAACGGGCCTGCACCCAAACTATAACATTTCAGGTTTTATGTCAGTAAAATATGGTGGCCAACAGGTGCAAATGTGAAGTAAACAACAAAATGAGCTACACAAACATGAGTGATGCACACATTGACGCAAATAAAAACCTAATGTTACAGAAACAAAAAGACGGCGGCATGTTTACATCTGTTTACAGCTCGTTTCTTTTTTTGTTTGCTGCATTTTTTGTTTTGTTTGATGCTAAGTTCTGGAGTTTGCATCATGCAAGGTTTTGCAGCTGATTTAGTCTTTTTTTATTGTGCATTTGCCCTCGTCAATCACCGTAGTATGTTGAAAACCAATCATGCATGAGCAGGTGCTGTTCTTTCATATTAAAATCCCATGAAGATGAAATGCATAGAAATTCTTATAGGCTGACTAAATCAAAATACTAACATTAAGCAATTATTAGGGTTGAAAATTTAGAATTTATGAAGTCCAACCAACTTTCATTTACCAAACTTATGAAGTTTGTATTTTCTGAATCCATTTCAGGAAGATTGCAAGTCTAAATATCTTCCAAAAAAAATAACACTAACAGAAAAGCAAAAGTTAAAGATTCAAGGGGAAAGAAACCCGTTTCCACTTGAATTCCTTTAAATCTTTTGTTTTTTTTTTAAAGGTTTAAAATGAACAGTAAAAAGGCCAGAGGTGGAGTAAACGGACCCAGGGTCGGCCATCAACTGAACCCTCTGTATATGATGCCCCTGCTCTACCACTGATCCACGCCTTGCTCCTACTTTTACTCTTGATAAAACACAAAAACATTCATTCCTGAAAACTAAATAAATAAAACTAAATAAAGGCATCAAATTTCAACAGCCACTTCTTTACAAGCCTGTTTGACAAGTCTTAAGTGTTTGTAGGTTTTGATGTAGAACTGATCTCGGTCAGAAAGTAATATAGAGCGTAAAGTTGAGCTGTTTTAAGGTCATCTTGTATAAAGTGTGTGATGCTATTTGTATAGCAATAAAAGTAAACTAGAAAACCATATATAAAATTTCCAGGAATGTAGAAAAACCAGAGTTATAAAGAAAAGAAAATTATTATGAACAGGAAAAGTTGGAGACACTTTGAATTATAGAATAAACTGGCCTGTTCTTAGGTTAAATTTAATGATTACATTTTTTGGTTGTAGGTCCCATTCCACATGCACATCAACCTGGAGCTACTGGAGTGCGTCTACCTGGTGTCGGCCATGCTGCTGGAAATCCCCTACATGGCTGCTCATGAGTTTGACGCCCGCCGCAGGATGATCAGCAAGCAGTTCCATCATCAGCTCAGAGTAGGAGAGAGGCAGCCGCTGCTGGGTACGAACTCAAAAACTCTAAACTCTGAATCAGATTCATCTGACAAACAGAAGATTAATGTTTCCTTCTTTTTTTAACCCCCAGGACCCCCAGAGAGCATGAGGGAACATGTGGTAGCAGCTAGCAAGGCCATGAAGATGGGCGACTGGCGCACCTGCCACTCATTCATCATCAATGAGAAGATGAACAGCAAAGTTTGGGACCTGTTTCCTGAAACGCAGCGAGTACGCGAGATGCTCGTCAGGTAATGTTTGCTCCTACCTGTATGTATAGTGAATTGGTCAGTGTGGTTTTTAATGCATCTGTTAACGTTAAATTGATCTTTTTACAGGAAAATCCAGGAGGAGTCCCTGAGAACGTATCTGTTCACCTACAGCAGTGTGTACGACTCCATCAGGTAAACAGCAAACAGCATTACAAAGTTTATCGATACAAGTTTGGTGGATTTATGAGTTTTTTTTAATGATCAACTCTCTTGATACTAAAGCTGCTCATATCATTTCATGCAAAATGATTGTTTTCGGTAGGATTCAGCGTTTAATTCATGCAACAGTCTCTGTCTGTCAATGGAAATATTTGACCAGTTAAAATAATTTCAACGGTAACACCCGATTCATGTTTTTAGTTCCTGATATTTTCACTATCAGTTTTGAATCTAAAACATCTGGACCAATAATAACTGATATCGTCATATTTAATCAAAGGGTTGCAGCTAAGTTTTTTTTTTGTTACCGATATCTTACAGCTGCACTCCAAACTCAAGGTTTTTTTAATGAATAACTCAGATTTACTTGATACTTAATCATAAGTGATTTTAATCTCTTAATTATTCTCTTTTTTTTCTCTGTGATCTGCAGCATGGAGACATTGTCCGAGATGTTTGAGCTGGAGATCCCAACAGTTCATAGTATTATCAGCAAGATGATCATCAATGAGGAGCTGATGGTGAGCTTTTAGTCTCCATACACTGATTTCCATTGGGTCCTTAAAATCCTACAAGGTTCAAGACCATGAAAGTTTTAAAAAAGCAGTATGATAGCATAAGCTGTCATTTTTGAAACAGGGTCCCTGAGTGGAGGAAATAAGAAAACACCAGTTTCATGTTTCAGTGTGAACATGTGAGCCACATCTTGTTAGTAACGATGAAGCTGTAGCTTTGCTTCCCTCTGTAACCCACTTTTACAGTGTCTTTCCTGTCCTGCAGAATCTAATTAAAATATCCCAGCTGTCATGCTTACATGAAACCTTCTAGTCCAGCCATGCTATGCTTCTGTCCATGTAAACATAACTATGCCACTATCAGTGGCAGAATGTAAATGCTGCTGCACATGGTCCTTGAATTTGATGTTAAAGGTGTGAGAACCTCGTACATTAGCACAACAAATACATCTTGGTGTATAACCATTAATTATTGAGGGGACTAACAGCCCTTTTTTTCCTGCATCATTCTATCTCAACAGGCGTCTCTTGACCAGCCCACACAGACGGTGGTGATGCACCGCACCGAACCCACCTCCCTGCAGAACATGGCTCTGCAGCTGGCAGAGAAACTGGGCAGCTTGGTGGAGAACAACGAGCGCATCTTCGACCTCAAACAGGGCGTCTACGGAGGCTACTTTAACAGAGGTCAGCTGGGGTTACATAAGCAAAGTTGATTTGTTGCTCTGTGTTATTGATCAATGAAATTAGAAGGATTTCCTGTAGCAGATGTCAGTTATCTGGAAAGACCAGCTGTCCTTCTAGATGGAAGAGTTCTCTACTGAATGAAGCTATTAAAGCACTGTGAAGTATTTAGAATAAGAATAACCTGAACTTGAATCCTGTTCTTTTGGGTTTACAGATCAGAAAGGTGGATATCAGCAGAAGCAGCCATACCAGAGAGGTTTGTTAAACAATTTATCAGCTACTTGTTCTGCATTCATTCTCATACATGAAATTACAATTCCCCTGTGAATGAAGCAGTTTATATTCACTGTTTTAATGTTTAAATGTGCTTATTTTTTATTCAATTTCTGTGGCAACAGATCAGAAAGGCGGCTACCAGCAGAAGCAGGGCGGCTACCAGCGAGGAGGCTACAGGAATCAAAACCAAAGCAACTACTGAACTTAGGAATAAGAATTTGTATTTCACTTCTTGGAGTTTTTTCATTCCATAAAGCCCACAACAACCGGAGTTTGGCCACATCCTGAAACCTAGCCTCTTCCACAGATTTGAAGTGTTACAGTCTGCTTTATGTACCAATTTTATGTACCATGATTTTCACCTTTAGCGAAAGCAGTCAGCTGGATTCCAACATGGCAAATATTATTTACTTTAAAAACCAGAAATAATAAAAATAAATAAAAAACAGAAATAAACATTTTGTTTAGTTTTTTTTTTATTATCAGTAAGGCAAAAACAATCTGGTGTTGAATCTTCACAATCAACCACACTTAGAAGCATGATTTACAACTCTACAATGCAGTTCTTTTTCTTTTTTTTAGAAACTGAAAACTTTAAATAATATAAAAAAAAAAATCTTAAGCTTCGCAATACATTTATAAACTGGTATAAGGTAAAGGCTCAAGTATTCGAGTTAAAGGGCATATACCATTTGGATTTTTTGGATTATATTGTGACTCAGCAGTTCTTTTCCATATTTATAATTAAGCAAATTGTAAAAAAAAAAAAAAAACGAGAGTAATAAACCTTAAACTCACACATGGATGCAAAACAATACGACCATCTGGGACTAAAGTCGTAGTTTCCACCTCAAGTTAATTTTTCTAATGCAAAAAATTATGATTTACTTCCAATTTTTAGTCATGTAGTAGCTAGACAATTAGCTTCCAGCATATCTAAAGATTTAAATGCTTTATATTGAGCCCATCATGTCTAAGCATTCGGCAGAGAAATTTCTCTGTGAGACGCTTCTTGAATCCATAATTCACAGAAAGGACCCACTTTTCACTTTCAGCTGGGGGGATTTAGTCCCATTTCAACTTGTTTCTACAGAATCTCAACAAGATCCAGATCTGGGCTTTGATTAGGCCAGGATTTGTTGCAGGATCAAGTTCTGCCTCAGCTTTCGATCATCTGTCTTTTATCTTAGTCCTTTAAGTTAAGCCCATGCAGCCTGCTCCTATAGTCCTTACACCATTGGTAAAACTACTGCTTGCATGTCTTTGGGTCCAGATTGTTACCAAGTCTAAGCAGCATTCATACCAGCTTTCTCCTGGTCCTCCATGTCTTTAGTCTCTGCGTTTATCAATTTGTTTTATTGGCGCCCCCTCAGCCTCATCCGGTATCTGAGCTCCTGCCTCAGCAGGTCTCTTTCTTTGCGAATGCCCTGTAACACGGTGCGGTTCTCCTGGGCCCGGCGCACCAGGTAGGGCAGAGTGTCATCCACTGAGCCATACGGCACCGACTTATAAACAGGATAGCCTTCCTTAGCTGGGCAAAAGAGGAAACAAAATAGCCAAAACATGAAAGACATCAGATATTGTCCCTGCAGATGAAGGTTAAGCAAGAAGATTTACAGTGTATGTTATTGTGCTGCAATGGAGAAATCCTGCGGAATGACTGGACTCCATGTTTTAGATGCTCCCCTGCATTAAATAAAGGCTGCTGCAGCCCTTAATAACATGCTGAGTAGGTGAGCCAATCATGAATAAGGTTTTTTGGCGGAAGGACGCATCTGAAACACGCCAAATCCCAAGGACCACAGCTGTAATGTTTGCAAAAAATGCTGTAGTAGAGCTTATCTCACCCAGTGTGAGGGAGACATGATCACACATTCCCAGCAGCTGGCCGAAACACACCGAGCCTCCATCTTTGTCTATCCCCAGCTCCTCCATCCTAGTGTACAGATATTACAAAGAAATTAGATGAAATTTAAAAGTTATTTATCACTTGTCGTCTTCAGCCAATAAATATTTCTGTCCTGAACAGACATATTAAGATTATATGACAGCCTTTGTGTTCCAGCAAAACAATGATGAGACAAAACCGACTAAAAATATTTGATCAAATCCTTTGACTTAAAAATGCTCTTTATGGTAAGTAATAAATTGGGAAATCCTGGCTGAATGACACAGTTCCTTAATTTCAAGGACAAAAAGAACTTTTCCTTTAAAGCTTCTGGGTGAAAATAGGGATTATCTATCTTAAAATATCAGATCTAGTTTTTAATCAATAGACGAGTTTAACTTGTTCTTTTAAAATGACACATTTAAGCAACTCTAACTATCCACTATGGCATCTTGAAGACATGGCATGTCTTATTTCCAGCTTTTAATTGGTTAATAAGAGAAACAGAACCTTCCTTTAATGGCTGCTTGTTCCTTTTAGGGTTTAAATCAATATTTTTTATCTTTACATGTCCTTACCACAGTCTGTTCCTCTTGGCTTTTAGTTAGATTGTTCAAAGCATATGACATCAGGTGCACATTATGAAGGCATCATTATTATGCATCTTGAAAGAGATGAAATTGCTAAAAAGGTAATTGAAGAAGAGAAGTCAGCTGTTCCTCTGAATGGAAAATGGTTTGCATATGGAGGACGTTTTAAAACTTATAGTGTACATGCCCATTAACCCTCTCAGAAGGTGTTTTCATGCTCTGACCTTTCAGCAGCTCGTCTCACAGACTCCTCATTGTGAGTGGCCACGATGATCCTGTAGCGGTCAGGTTTCTGTGATATAGCTTCCAGCATCACATCCAGGCAGCCATTGTAACTGTTTTCACAAGAAGCAATGATAAAGTTTATATTCTGCTGTAAAAGTTTTTTTTTCTGATTAATAAAAAGGTATGACTTCTAAATAGACTAAATTTAAGCTTAATGTAGAAATGAAGAAAAGCAGGCTTCTACACCAGAACCACATTCATGCAGTCATACCTGACACACTGCAAAACAATGCAATAAAAGTTGCTGTTTTTTTCTTTAAAAAAAAGTGTGCATTTTACCTTATTTAGCTGGTGAGTCAATTTGCCAATGAAATAAGATGACCTTTGTTTAAAATAAGATACTTATGCTATTTTAGAGGCATAATATCTAAGTATCTTATTTCAAGGCCAAACTTACTTATTCTATTGGCAGATCACCTTGTTAACCTGCTTAAATTAAGCACAGAAATACTTATTTTAAGACATTTTAACTTATTTTTTATCTGTTTTTGCAGGGCATATGCACATTTAAACAGAACATAAGTTGGGTATAAGTGTAGCAGGAGAGAAAGCTGAAACACAAGCCCAAAATAATTTGGAGTGCAAATTTTGGCCCATCACTCTTTTTTTTTTTTTCTTAAAAAAAACTGTGAGGACTAGTAAGTTTCATATTTAGCTAATGATAACTGATAGTTAGACAATGCTACAGCAGATTGTTAATGCATGTCATATAAAAACTTACCAATTACTGCATTGAGATGATTGACATACTAAGAGTGAAATACTGTCATTTAATATATTATGCAGCTCTTTATTTAATTGTCAGGTTAGTTTCAACCTCTTATTGGTCTCCTCCCAGCTGGGATGTATGGGGTCTACCCGGCCCTCCTTCTCAGCCAGCTTTCGTTCCTTGTCCATGTAGGCTCCTCGTACCAGTTTGACCCCCAGACAGAAGCCCTCAGTCTGTGACAGATGCAGAGCCTCTAACAGCAGAGACCTGGACTCCTAATGGACACATCAGACCCGCCTATTAATCACCATCGCTGAGTGTAAACAGTAGAAAGGTTCAGACGTTGTAGAGCTTATTGAACCATAGGTAATGACAGCTGCCTTTAGATAACACTGATAGGTGTTCCAGATCCAAGCACCATCTTTGTTAAACTTCTTCATCAGTGCCATGGTGATGAGAGTGAGAGCTGGGTTCATGTAGGTGTACTCTGCATCAACCAGCACTCTGACTTTGTTCACACTCGCCTGGAAATAAAAGATTTTAAACTATAAATGATCAAAAGCAGTGCATATTTATTAAAAAAAAAGGTTATTATTGGAAGCTGAAAATTACAAATTTGCTTCTGTGTAATTATCCATCCATACAGGCATGTTGCTATTTTTCACGGCATGGTTTTTGTACATTACTAGGAGAATGACTAAGCAAAAGAAGAAAATAAAACTCCTGGGAGATGTACCATACCAAAAACACAAATGGATAACACTGCTAAAGGGTTACCTCTGCTATTTTGTTCAGTCTCCGCAGACCACACAGGAAATGACCCGCCTCCTTTTCCTCTAATCCAGGAAATGTTATCATCTGAAAATGGTAAAAACCGTTAAATCATCAGTTAATTTATAAATAAATCCTAGACTCTACAAACCAGGGGTTCCCAAGTCCAGTCCTTCAACCATCCTTCAACTTTTAGATGCGTCCGCTCTTCAACACCTCTGAATCTAAGGGCTTAATCCCTCCACATGTCGTACCAGAGGCCTGTTAATGAGCCACTCAGTAGATTCAGGTGTGCTGAAGACGAGATGCATCTAAAAGTTGAAGGAAGACTGGATTTGGACACCCTGGACATAAACTACATCACTGAGTGGATTGCTGGCTTACTTTTCCATCCAATGCTCGGACAAGGAGGCTCAGATCGAATGGTTGACGTGCAAGCAGGGTTGCTAGTTTGACCTTTGACACAATCAGCATAGTCTCATCAGAAAGACAGAAATGGATCAACATGACAGACACAGAGAGAGAAAGGGGCAACAAGTAGGTCACAAATCAGCAAAAACATCTTTATGTAGGTGTTGACAATGCAAACAGTAAAATGTGCCTTCTTATCTTTTTTCCCTCCATATAGGTGCAGACTTTCAAGGCTTTTTACTGGTACTACAATATAGTGAGTATATGCATCCCCCAAAATACTATGTATATAATTTGTATGCAAAGAAAGAGAGAAAATTGGTATGATTTTTTTTTTTTTGTCTTTAGAGGACAGATCCTTACACACAGCTCGGGGCTGAGCAGAGCCGTGATCTTCAGCTGCATCATGGGGTCTTTGCTCCAAGCGTTGCTGTGGGACATTCGCACACATTCCAGCATGGCTTCCATGTTGTCGTCGTATCTCTTTTCTCTGGTGGGGAGGACGCTTTTTTAGAACTGCAAGATCCAACATACATCCACAGACTAAAGATAACGAACAGTAGTGTGTGTTTGCTTGTTTATATCATCCATTAAGGATCTCTTCTGGAATATCCAACAACCATTTGAGGACAGCACTCCTTATGAGGACCAAAGAGTGGTTCTATAGAGGCAGACCTCTTTTAAGGTGTGCTATTAGGATTAAATGCATGATGTTAACTATACTCTGGTTGAGTTTTACTTTACTTTAATGGCTACATGTGAATAAGAGTCGGGAGTTCTAACTTCAATGAAACATGTTTGGGAATCAAAGCAGGAGCTGCAGCTCTGCATTTCTCATCTATGAACAATATCATAAACCTTATGGATAAAGTTTCCAGATGAGTTAAAGTTGCTATTGTGAACACAGGACTCCATCTACAAATTAGACGTCACAGACTGTAAAAATAAATGGACTTTTGACAAAATTCTTGTAATGGTTAGGGTGTATATAAGGGCTGCAACTACTGATTATGTTGCAAATCGATTAATCTGTTCATTACTTTTTCGATTAAAAATCTTATAATCAAAGGATCCTTAAAGAAAATTTTATTACTAAATTAAACCAGGTGAGACTTAAACTTTTTCACTTGAGGAGTTCTGGATAGAGCATATTGAAAGTTGAAAACATTTTTTATCTTAAATGCAAAATGTTTTTATATTTTTATACAATTTTGATATAATTACTGCTGTAATGGGGTTGCTCTTTCAGCTAAAAGCTCCACTTAACGACTAACCGATTACTAAATTAGTTGACGATTATTTCAATAATCGATTATTCTGATCAATCCAATTGTTTCAGCCCTAGTGTTTATGCCTTCACTGTTTATATGGCAGTGGAAATCAATTCTTAAATGAGCAGAAATAGAAAATGACTCAATCAAGTATGGATTACTGCTACAGAATTTCACAAAATATTGCATTTTTCATCCCTCTGAAAAAAAATACTTTTAATAATATATATTGTGTTTTTGAAGGGTTGATGAGATCAGAAGAGGAACAAGAATCAAGCTGATCAACTGGCTGTAGTGAATAATATGAAGGGCATACTCTTGTCGACAGATGGATTTATTTTTTGTTACACTGAGCTCATCATTGGAGTAATCAGATGGAGTTTTGATCCTGGCTTGTATATTCATGCCTCCTTTTTTGCATCCTCCCATTCCTACATTGTTTTTCCCATGAGAGGCCTTCTATGATATAGTCATTAATGGTCTATTGATTTTCTATTGATTTTATGTATAAAGCAAACAGGCGTAGGTAGAATTTTAGTAATTATATTACTGTTTTTCTTATACTCTTTTTTTACTATATACACTCTTTTTATATTGTCTGTTGTATTTTTATATTTAATGGCATCTTGCTTTAATTCTGCCCTTCATACGTTTCATAAGTTACTGGAACCAGAATTTCCCTGAAGGATAAAAGAAAGAGCTAAATAAAGTTGAGTCTAAGTCTGTCTGCTTATAAAGTGAAAGAAACATGAAATAGTGTTTGTCTAAAGAACTCCAAAATGATCTTTTATGTGCAACAAGCATACTGTGACACACCAACTCCACTTAGGAAAAACATGGTGGTGGCAGTGTCATGCTGTGTTCAGGCAAAATCCTTAAAAGGGAAATAAGAAAAGAAAAAAATATCCTCATCTTTGCCATGTCGCAGCTATGCACCACTTAATTGTGGTCTGTAAATAAATCCTGATGAATATATTGAATTGTAAATAAAATATCAGAAATTATAAAATGGAAAGGTTTGAAGCACATAGATACTTTTATAAAGCACTGCAGGAATTAAAGACTTACCCAGTGCTTTCTCCGAGGTCTTCTTCTATAGGAACAGCCAACATGGGCCTCAGTCCTAGCAAGCTGATCTTCCCCATGGACTGGGAGATCTCCTTCTCGTTTTCTCCAGCCACAAACTGGGCGTATACAGTTGGCCGCAGCAGTAAAGAGAACCCCGTCCTCCCCAGGAGGATCCGTGCTCCTGTCATCATCTGAAATGGACAAGACAAATTTGGGATGAAGAGATGGAAAAACAGCAATGGCGCATAATTATTGCTGATGTAAAGACTGAGTTTATGACAGTTCATTGCAGCATTAGAGACAGTCTGCTCAATTAATTCTGGTCCCACCTTTCCACAGTTGTTGACCAGCACTGGGAAGGAGCACAGACGGAAGACACCAAGAGCACGGAGAAGCTCCCCCAGGCTCTTCACCCTGAAGGCACTGGGATCCTCAAAGGTCAGGCTTGCTGGGAGAAGCTCCGGCTGCTTGACCGCCGCAGTCCTGGTGGCGGCAGTACCAAGAAGCCTCATAGAAAAGAGGTGAGGGAGCGACGGGCGGAGATTAGAGCACAGCATCATGCCAAGGGCAGAACAGATGGGATCAGGTCGATCAGATTGTGCTGAGATGAGAGGTTATGGAAATGTTGAACGTCTTTGGAGCGTGTAAATTAGCATTGGCAGTGTTAGTTATAGCAATCCTCAGTATCAAAGAGCTTTTTTTTCTCTAAAGCTGACAACCTATAGGAAAAAAACAAAAGCATCTGTAGATGTGATCAGTGAATAAATAAATACTGACATTTTAAAGACCTGATGACAAAATCAACATGAGAGAGATAAACGACATTAAAAAAAACATTAATTTCTTTTCTTTTCTTTTTTAGCAGCTATTTAATTACAATATTTCAGCAAAGATTTAGCTCTGACCAACTGACTGCTGAGAAAAAGTATCCTAATAATCTACATTAAAATACAAAACTTCAAGTGCAAGGAAAATGAAAAATAAAACAAACACTAACCAGACAAATAAAAAAAAGTTTTACCCTCCGTTCCTTAAATGCCACTCAGAGCGCCTCAGTGATGAAAAAAGGTAGCTGCTGTTTGAGGGTCCGAATGCAGGACTTATGGGTTAATAAGTGACTGTTGGGAAAGTTGAGTAAACATCAGGCTGACCCTTAGCATCGCCTCGTAGAGCTTCCCTCAGTTTGGAATCCACCAACAAGGGTTGTGCATAAATATGAAGCATGTGTTAATATATTCCAGTGTTTAAGCCTCAGAAATGTTCTACACCTGGAGATTATAAAAGCTGTGTAATAAAATGGTAGCTTTAAATGAATGCTAATACAGTAGGTAACTGTTTATTGCTTAACATAAAAAAAAAATATGAATGAATCCTTCATTTCACATTTTATAAAAGGGCTTTAAAAGTCTGATTTTTTTTTAAAGTAAATGTTTAATGTTTAATTAGTATATACAATGCACATACACAGAATAAAAGTATTTGCCATCATTCATGAACAATTTGCAAATAGGAAAATACTATAGCATTAACAGACATGTACTTGTAATTCAGACTTGATGTAAAATTTTGAAATTATATGGAATATGTTAAAAGAATAATAAAGTCATCAATACATGTATATTACATGAACATCATCAATTTAGCACTTTTGGCACTTCAGTATTATTATGCTACATTCATTTTGTTGTGATAGATTTGTATAATATGTTGACTTCATAATGACTATGTAATGTGATGTGCCTATTTTTTTATTATAAGTAAAATTAATCTAATTATGCTATGAAACAGCCAGTGTGTGTCAAAGTGATGAATTTATCTTTATTTTAAGTCTTATGTCCCCCCTGACAATGAGAACATAATCTTTGTTCAAAGTTGTAGCGCACATGTTGTTTACATTGCGACCGGTCTAACTAGGGAGTACCAAAATGGTGGCCAGTGGCTTCACTTCAACCCCGTACTACCAACGGGCATTCAGCAATCCAGTGGATAAATAGAGATCAGTGGGTTTTGCCCGGATTGGCTTTTCTAAAATGGTCTTTTCCTGATTTATAGAAATCCAACCATTTGATCTTCTCTTATTCTCATTACACAATATTTCAAGTGGTTAATCCTGAAATTGATCCATCAGAGATTTATATTGTTTGATATTCATTAACATAACTTTATTTTATTCTCTATATAAAAAACAAAAAAATTTAAATCATCAAGATATATGGACTATTTAAACCTGGACTTTATTTTTTTACCATTAACAGGGAATAAAAAAAACAGCTTTGGGAAATGGTGTATCAGGTATGATGGGTGGGGGTGTGGGATTGATTTTTCCATAATTTTTTGACCTTTTCCTGAAGATATGTGTATGTTAGTGATCTTTGCTGAAGACATTTATTCTGTTTCTCAGAACTACTCATCTCATATCTCATACATTCATCCATTTTCTGTCACATTTATCCCTGCTGGGGTTGCGAGGGGTGCTGGGGCCTATCTCCAGCTGTCTAGGCGGGGTTGGGGGGAGGTGCACCCTGGACATGTCCCCAGTCCCGTCTCATAGATAAGAGGAATATTTCCATTTCATGTTTGCTGTGATGTAAATCTTATAGTAGAGATGAATATTTGACCTGAAATGTTTTATTCTTCCTTGTAAAATAAGCAAAGCTGGAAATATTGCCCAACCTGACAGTTTTTATAGGTGAGTTTGGATCAATTTAGGACTGTGGGACACATCATGTGCAGCTAAGCCAGACCTTTCTGGTTTGTTTCTGCTACGTCTGTTTATTCTTGACGTCAAAGATTTGCACAGTCTGAGCTACAGGAAAGCAACACGACAAACAAGTTGACCCTGGAGAGCCTGTGGCTGTTGCTCACGGTGATGTGTTCATATGCAGCCAGGTGTTTCCCCTCTGAAGTCTTCTCACACGTTTAGTTTTATTATTAACTTTTTGACCCCCAAAAATATACTGTGCAAAAATAGACAGAGTTTGATTTCTCAGAATGGCATACTTGAAACAGAAAATAAAAAATAAGTTAAGGAATAACCATTCCCTTGGGGAGCAGTGGGCTGCCATTGTGCGGTGCCCGGCAAGCAGTGGTTAAGGGTCTTTGCTCAGGGAGCCAGAGTGGCAGTCTGTGGGAGTGGAGCTCGAACTCAGAGCCTCAGGATTCCAAGCTCTATGTCCTAACCACTAGGCCACCACTTAATAATATAGATTGAAAAAAAGTCCTGCATATGCAGCTAAATTAGTTTAGTTCTTAATTCAATGAATTTAGGTTGTAAAATAGCATTAAAGTTGAAATATACCTTGAGACATAATCAACATGTTCATTTTAAATTCAAACATGGGGGGATAAACTGGGAATATCAGAATCAGATCCATCACCTGTTATGTTTCCCAGTCCCCTGTCTTCATCCATATGTCACTATCAGTGTTTTTCTGTATACAAACTTTGCTCTAACTGGACAGATTACCTGCCCATTCTTTATTTTCCCTCTGTTTTTTTTATTTTTTATTTTTATTTAGTTATTGTTTTTGCAGCTGTTATGTTGCGTCTTTAATATCTATAGAAACAACAAGTCAGTTTTGAGAAAGCTAGGAGTAGAAAGTGCTGATATGTATTTTCAAATGTAGAGTTAAAGTGAAAAGTCCTCAGAAAAATAAATTCTTTTGTAAGATACAGATGCTGAAAAACAAAACTTTTTAGGTACTGTAACAAAGTATTAATACTTAGTTACTTGACACCTGTGAATATTACTACAGAGAGGACAGCAATGCTAATTTACAGGAGGTCACTTGGGCAAAGGTTAAAAAACCTGGAACGGATTTCCAGCTGGGAGCGGTATAGAGGATAGACACCTAATAATTTAACTCTAAGAATGGCTGCAAGAGAGATATGTTTCAGCAATAAGAATTTTTATAAAAAATAATTACTAATGGTTTAAACAGACTTTAATTCACTATGTGTTCCCATTTATCTTATCTTTAACATGCTTTTGATTTTTATTAAATTATTATTCAGCTATTTGACCACATTTTGCAAAGATTTTTCGTTTATTTATGGTTGAGTTCCTGATATTGCCCCACCTCAGTCCATAAATAAGCATTTGAACTGATAATTACCTGCCTAATAATATTTTATATAAATGTATACTAATGTATAATAATAATTTCCTTTAGGGAATAATAAAATATTTTTAACTGAACTGAATTAAGATTTAAGGATATGGCTTGATTTAAAACATATAACTAAAGTAGTTGTTAAATGGTTAAAAAATACTTCTTTTTATTCCATCCTCCTCTATGTCTTTTATTGTAATCTGTTTCTTTTCCAGTCAAATGAGAAAGCAGTTTATAAATTATTCTGACATACTTGTGTCCCATTCATTTATCAGCACACCCACATCTCATCAATTTTATTTTTTTAAATGATTATTAATAAATGACTTTGATCTTCTTCCATTGCTCTTGAGTCTCCACGTCTTTATCAGTTTAAATGCTGTTAAATTCCAATTTCTGTTCTAACACATTTATCCAGCACCTTTGAAAGATCAAGGTTTAAATTTCAGTTCTTTTGTGACTTTTACAGCCATCAAGCAGTCATTTTGTTACAAAATAACATATCTCAAAACATGGATATACTTGGAAATACTTTTTTGAAGTCTGTGATTCTGTAAACAGGTCTAAATGTAAACCCTGGGTACTTCTGTAAAGATAACACATGAAAGCACATGCACATTTAAGCAATATTACAGAAGCTAATATGTTGCCTGAATTGGACCCAACCACAGCGAAAACCTCTGAACTAATCATTGTCAGAGGGTAATACTTTGATGCTAATAAAAATATGGATATTTAACAGGCTTTAATATAAAGTTTTACATTATATTTTAGGAGAAAGGAACAAAAAAGTGCAAAACTCCTTTAGTCTAAGACTTTTATTTCTCATACTGCAATGAATATTTAAACATAAATCTCAAAATTATTTACAAATCAATATTATTATCACCAAATCCATTAGCTGAATAGCTAAAACATTGATAAAACATTTACTCCTGCTTCTAAGCATTGCTAATTTCCCTTAAAGCGCCTTGAAACCAAATATTTTAACATTTGCTTAATAAACTGATCTTGCACCGATGTAGGACCCCTGGGAGTGAGGGTGGCTCTGCTGGTGCTGTCTGTAAAGGTGCCTGAAGGGTGCGGTGAGGGAGGAGTGAGGATCCCGATGCAAATGGAGAGGATATGATGGGAAGGTTGGGTAGAGGGCTGGTGGAGGGGTGGAGGAGGGCAGGGATGGATCCAACTGAGGAAGAAGAGCCTGATGGTGAAGTACCATATCTGGCCGATAAGGGGGAGGAGGTGTGAACTGAGGGATGGAGCTGACCCCAGTTGGAGGGTAAGAGCAGGTATAGGAGGAAGATGTGGGATGGGGTTGATTCTGCTGGAACGAGGAGGAGACAGCCAGGCAGGAGGAGGCCGGGAAAGAATGGTGAGGGAGGGAGGATGATGAGCGGGGGAAAGAGGAAGGAGGAGGGAAGGCAGCAGGTAGGGAGGGGGCTGCAGCTTGGTGGGTCAGGTTGGAGAAGTTCAGAGCAGGGCTGGGGGCTATACTTGGAAATGAGAGAGCCTGCATTTGTTGGGGAAAAGAGGGCAAAGCGAAAGAGTTGCAGGTTCCATTAGCAGGGAGGGAACAGGGCAGGGTGGGAGCTAAAGACTGGTATTCAGGATCCGCATCTATAGGAGGGACATTTGAATAGGGAAACACTGCTGAGCTCTGAACCATAGTCCCCTTACTTCCATCCGTATCAGGTCCCCCCTGCATCTGAGAGTGAGGAGATGTTTGGTCCTGCAGGTTTGATGCACACATATTCGATGGAGCTCCAAAGGCAGCTGGAGTGTGGGGGCTGACCATCCCAGGGGCCGTGTGGAAGGTGCTGGAAGAGGGGGAGGAGGAGTCCGAGGGTGGTGGCGTGGGGAAGTTAAAGGAGGTCTGCTGCAGTGAAGGGGTGGCAGGAAGCATGGGGGAGGAGTAGTCCACAGGTGGGAAGGATGGCTGAGGATGGGCTGTGCTGGAGGAGAAAGAGGAGGACGGAGGACCTGAGAAGTTTGGCTCATAGGTTGTTTCAGCCAAAACATCT